AAGATAAGATTCATTTTATTTGAAGGTGTTTCTGTGAGAGTGCAGCTCTCGCAGCACTGTCCTGAGGTTTGGTTACAATAAATGGCAGCCCTGACAGTGGTACATCAAAGATCAGGCCAGTCCTCCTCCCCCTCCGGTGTGGTTCCTGCAGTATGTCATCATGTGGGGCACTTCTTAAAAGTGATTTCTCCACCATGCTCATCCAATCCAGTTGGAAAGCAAAAACGTACTGCTCTTTTGGCTGTGTGTTGTTGATATTTTTATATGAATTATGAAGCATCCTTTGATATCTAGCGCTTCCCCTTAGGATCCTCTGTTACTTTTTATGAGTACTTGCCCCCTAACTTCAAAAGCAGTTCATCACCTTCCTGCAGACAGTTCTTAATAACCCATTGGAACTGTCGGGCATTCCTGGGCCTGTTTTATGCGAGTTTCTCTCCAGAAACTTTCAGAAAGTGGCCATAATGTGCACAGACCTCAAACCACCTTCGCTGTTGTGCGCAGGGGCTCTCTGGGCACGTGCTGCTTCTGGTGCTGTCGTACGTAGACTTGTTCCATAGATTTAGTGACTAAAAGAAAAGCAGAAGTCGAGAGTAATGAAGTCTACCCTGTCCTGAGCTGTGCTGTTGCAGTTGTTTCATCCTAAATTGCCTGGAAAGTATCGTCTGCTGGGGAAAAATATTTTTTGTGTTTAAGCGGAGCTGGAACAGTGTGGTTTTGGCGTCAGAGGGAGGGCTGGGGCTGGCGTCCGTCCGTCCCGGCAGCGCCGGATCCACCTCGCTGCTGTCATCCCTTGGGGAGGCAGAAAGCTGCTTTTTGTGGCAGTTCAAAAGGAAAATAATTGGCATGGGGATAGTTAATGTGAGTTGCCATTCCTTAGCATCAGAGATTCCACTAAAGTACTAATAATTACTGTTAATATCTTTCAGTGGAAACTTTCAGAGTAAAGGAGCAGTGGTTGAAGCAGTATTTAATGGCGTGCGGCTGGCATGATAAGAATGCAAATAAGCGTTATTAGCCTAATGATTTTGCTGTCGCCATGGCTGTGCAGCAGTAGTGTTGTGAATATGTCATGCAGTACCCGTGAATTTGGAAAGTGTGTCAAAACACAACTTCAATTAGTTTGCTCTAATTATGGCTCTAGAGAGTTCATAACTGTATCACTCCTCATTAAAAGAGATTTTCTTATATGGATTAATACAGCACGTAGAGGGATGTGTGAGCGCTCTGCGGCAGAGTGTGGAGGGAGGGTGCCCACGGTGGGTCCCGTCCCAGCGGCTCCTGCTGCTGCCAGGGGCTGGGAGACCCCCGGGGCTGGGAGACCCCCGGGGCCGGGGGCTGCCGTGGTACCCTCGGGAGAGGGTCTGTCCCTCGGCACATGAACCTGGCCAAGGGTGCCGGACAGGCTCTTCAGGGAAAAAAAACCCAAAAACAAAACACCAAAACAAAAACAAACAAGAAAACCCAAACAAAACCAAAAGACAGAAGCCCTGGCAGGAGCCAGACTCGATGCTGAAAGGGGACTTGCCCTGAAAGCTCGCTCTGCCACAGGGGGAGGGGGTGGGGGGGCAGCAGCCCCCCTGGGTCCGGCAGAATTGGTGGTGTCTGCCGGAGGGTGTGCTTGCTGTGCAGAAGGGGGAAAAGATCCTTGTGCTCACAGGTGAGCAGTTGGTGAAGAGTTAAAGTAGTAATTGTTTAAATCTTTTAGGCTTTCCTCCCAGTTCTGTGATAATTTGATGAAGAACTTCACCCTAATTAAATATTCAAATTAGGAATAAGTGTCAATATGGCTTCCCATTGCCTGGAATGATGATTAATTGTATTCAAAACTCTAGTGGCCGCTGTAATCTAAACCAAACCGTTGTTCTTGATTATTTCTGCAACACATTTACCATGTTTTTGTTTTAAAATTTAAACTAGTAATTGATTTGCCATATGCCGCAGAGCTGCACATGCTTTCACGATATGTGTTTAGGAACTTGGGGACTTTGTAATTGGGATTTTCTTGCGTTTCAACGGCAACCTCTCTTTTTTTTGTCTTCTACAATGCAAAATGATTTGGCTTTCAGAAGGCATAAGGAAAATGCATTATGCAATCAACTTAGTAGGTATGAATTATATCGATCCTGGCCAAAGTTTGCATTAATTTAAAACAAATTAGACTTTGTTTCCCATTTTTCCCTACAATGTCATGCTTTTAAAAATGGGAAGGGGGACGGGCAGAGCTGATCTCCTCCCAGCGGTTGCTGCCTTCTGTCCTGTGGTCCTGCGGCTGAGTGTCCTCCGTGGAGAGACCCGGCTCTGCTGGGCACAGCGCTGCCTCGGAGATGGAGGTGGCCCTGGAGGGGGGACGGGGCTGTTGTTTCCCAATGCCCTCCTGACATCTCACCTTCAGCCCCCGGGGCTGCGGGGCAGCAGCAGCTGAGCCCCCGTGTTGGGCTGGGCAGCCCTGGGAGCGGTGGCAGGAGTGTGGGTCCCCCGGGAGCAGGTCTCTGGGGACATCCCCACGGGTGGCACTGAGGCTCCCTGCTGCGAGGGACGCCTCGGCCTGTCTGGGCAGTGTTGGTATGTCTGGGCAGTGTTGGTATGTCTGGGCAGTGTTGGTATGTCTGGGTGAGCAGGAGGGACACCCCACGGAGCTGGGCAGCGCGCTCTGGAGACATCATCTGCTGCTGGCTCCTGCGTGTGGTCGCAGTCCCTGGGACGGGGCGATTCATTCTAATTACGTGGAATGTGCGCACGGCTCGGCATATGGTGCTGCTGAAACCTGGGGTGGGTGAGCTCTGGGCACCGGGGACCTGCTTCAGGGGGTCTTTGGCAACCGAAGGGTCCGGAGCTCTGCTGGAAGGGCTGCTGTGCCATGCCCTTTGGTGTCCCCAATGCGGTGCCCTCCCGTGGGACTGTCCCCTCCCTCAAAGCCTGCACCGGCTCAGTGGTGGGCTGCAGAAAAGGAAGAGGGTCAGTCTCTCCTGCAGCAGAAGCTGGTGGAAACTTTTAAAATGCTCTGCTCAGAAATCAGCTTTTCATGTAGATTTTCTTTGTTTATTTCCAAAACAATTCCTGCTGTTTTGTTTGGGCTGAGGGAAGTGGTTCCATGTACAAGGAAGAGAAATTCAAAAGTCTTTCTGTTGAGCTGTTTTGGTGCCTCGGAAAGTATTTTTGGATACTGCTATTAAAAAACAAATGAAAAGCATGTAATGCCTACAGGCAGTGGTCTTCTGGTTTAAAGTGTGTTCATGACAAACCTGCCTCTGCTCGCAGAGTCTCATATGGATTGTGTTTTAAACAGCAAACTGTAAGCCAAATTCAAAAATATTTTCACACCATCTTGTTTTGGTTAGAAATGGCTTTGGGAAGCACAAGCAAACTCAAGCTGATGTTTGCTTTTTCTTATTTTATCCGTGCTGTTCACCATCAGCTGCATCATGGTCTAAAAATATGTAGCTCTTCACAAAACCTGTGCTGTTTTTAAAGGCAGATAACGTCCAGATGAGTTGCTCGATAGATGAAACGTGCTGGCTGGGGCCGTGGATGTGATGCTCTGCTGGAGAACACGCAGCCCCTTCCCCCAGGAGGGGTGTTTGGGAGGGCACCCAGGGCTGTCCCGGCCGGAGGGCGATGGCCGGGGCCTGGCCGTGACCAGCGGCTCTCGCTGGGGGGACGCGGTCGCTGCTGCCCCAGCTCTCGCACGCTGTGCCTTCCCTGAGAAGGGAGCATCTTCATTACCTGTGGCAGTGGGCTCCATGAGATTAATGACAGCAGTTCATAAAAATTCATGCAGACCTGGGATCAGCGTTAGAAAAATACGGGTTTGAATTAAAAGGGAAAAGCCCGACTCTGTCATCAAAGCACAGAAATCTGTGGGCTATCAGTAGCCGTTACTAGCAAAAAGCCTTTTCTAGCAGCAGATATCTCAGCGGAGCCCAGAGCACCGTGGATGGGCAGCGAGCAGCCCCACTCGGGCTCTCCTGGGCTGTGTCCCACCGGTGGGTGCTCTGGTGCCGAGGCGGCTCCGGCAGCGCCGTGTAGAGCCCCCGCTCTGGGCTGCTCTGGGCCCTTTGGGAGCGGGACTTGCTGGGTGCCACCTCCCGCCCTCCCACACCTGGTCCTGGGAAGGTTGGTCACCCACCTCCTCTCCTAGCCCCTGTCCAGGCTTGCCAAGGGCTGGGTTTTCCTTTTAACAAGCTCTGACCCACTGAAAATAGTTTCAGCTTCACTTCCATGAGCTCTGTGTTTTCCTATTTATAGGAAGGTTTAATGGAAGATGTAAAAACTCTCTCTGCTGCAGGAATGCTGAGCAGGGCGATGCTGGGAGGGCGGGCGCTGGGCTGCAGCTGGAGGTGACGAGTGAAATTTGGCTTCCCCTTGCTCAGGGGCTGGTGTCGGGAGCTCGGTGTGTGTGTGTCGCCCCCGCCTCGGGAGCACAGGAGCTGCCGCAGGCGCTGGGTGGGTCGGAGCAGGCCTTCGTCATCAAGAGAGCTTCAGAGATCATATTTATGAATGTACTCAGAATTTTTTGGCACAGATAAATCCAGAGCACTTGCTGTTGGCGCTTTCTGCCGTGAAGGAAGCCTGTCCGAGTCCCACAGGGTGTTTGGCCACACTCTGGATGCCGTCTGAGACTGGTGTTTGCAGAGGGGGATCGTTCTTGCCAGCCCCTGCCCAGGCTGTCCCCGTGGCTCGTGGGGAGCTGCCCTCACCCCCAGAGGGTGGTGGTCGCTTCTGGCCCTTTGGTTTTTGGCCAGGTCCAGTGTTTGTGGGGTGGAGGGGGCTTGCCCCAGGGTGTAGATGGTCCCACTCACAGCTGGAGCGAGGAGCTGGTAAAGCAGTTAAACTGGCCTGGGTTGTAGTGGCTGGATCACCACCTGGGTCTCTGCTTGGTATTTGGTAAAGCTGATGTTTGCTGCTGAACTCCACCAGAATGGTCGGGCAGGAGCGGGCTGACGGCAGCACCTCCCGCTCTGTGGTAACGTCCTCTCCCTTCCCCATCTCTTCCTCAGACACATCTCGCTGACGCTGCCCGCCAGCTTCCGAGGGAAGAGCCACAGCACACGCCTGGACCTGGAGCACCAGCACTCGAACCTGTACGCCATATCAGGTGAGCTGCGCGCCGAGATTCCTCTGCTCTAACCAGAGGTGTAACCAAGCAAAGCCCTGCTCCCACGTCAGCCCCGTGTGTGGAACGTGGAACAGCCCAGCTTTTCCTCAGCCCTGTTTCAGCGTGGAGAGCAGAAGGGGTGCAGAGAGCCCCCGAGTGCCCCGGCACACGTGTTACTGGCAGCAAACGGTACTGGTCAGTGATGGCAGCCCTGGGGGAGGGACCCTGCTGCCTGCAGAGGTGCTAGGTGAGAGCTCTGGTGGGAGACAGCACCAACACAAACTTTGCTCCTCATCATCATGGTCTTCTCAGGTGAGTCATAAGAGACGAGATCTCTGCCCCCTGCACAGGGAGCCCTGTCCTGCTTGGCAAGGATGAGTGTCACACACACTGTTCTTTGCTGCGCTCAACATACATGTTAAAAACCGGAGATCTTTACTCTTTCCCATTTCTATATTCTGAATACTGGCAGGGTGTTAGATTTTCCAGCATTAGGGCAAATATGAAAGTGGATGTTAGGATTTGGGGGGGGTTCTGCATTATTTTTGAGCAGCGCGTGCTTCACGTGCACCCTTGGTCTCTCTGGCTGCGGCTTTCTCTCTGCTCACCATTCCAGGCGAGTGCACAAGTGCTAGAGCTGGTGATGGCTTCCAGATGTCAATGTGGAAAAAACCTGCCAGTGAATATTGTAGCTATTTTATATTTTTAACTAGTACTAGTCAGCAGGAAAGTGTGTGTTTAACTGGAGTGGTGAGGGTCAAGCCTGTTCCTTCACCCGTGCAGGTACAGGCACTTGTTGATGTGCTCCAGGAGCAGGCGGTGGGTTTGATGTGGAGCTGGGGTCCCCGTGGGCTGTCCCCAGCAGCTCTGCTCCTCCCCAGCAGGTCCTGCCTCCCAGCACTCGATCCTGGAAGGAGGAGCAAGCTGAAAAGGGACGTGGCCTGGTGCTCTGGGCCGGGGAGAGGCAGGGGGTTTTACAGCCCCGTACCCCGTGGAGTCTGTCACTCTGGGTGTGCCAGAGCTGTGTGGTCTGGAAACTGTTGATGAACCACAGAAAAAGGGCTTTTGGTTCCGTGAACTACAGAAAAGTGTGAGGTGCAGCTGGGGCCTGACAGCGTGTTTCACCTGCCTCCGGTGGGGCTGGCTCCTGGTCTGGGCTCCGTTGAGCAGCGCTGGGTGCAAGAGGCTTTTCCTTAGAATTATTTATTTTGGAGTAATGTTACACCTGAACAAATATTGTGATAGGCATGGTAGAATCACACTTAGCCACAGTTTTCTCTCTGTTATGTCATTTTTGCAAGAGGAGAAGAATATTGGCTTTAAACCTGGCTCTGTCAAAACCTAATGAAAGTGCGGTTCCTTCATCCAGCTGAAGGAGAATTTCAGGACAGGTTGGAGACCCAGAAAAAGCAGCCGTGGATGCAGTGGGCTGCACAATAGATAGTGCTCGTGCATAATCAGGGAAGAGAAGATGGCAAAAATGTGCCATTCACAGGTTCTTGCTATTAATAGTGAGTGACACTTCTAACATGGGAACATGGCATTAATTCATGTACCATAATCAAAGGGTTATTTAAAAGGTAATCTCTGACTGAAACTGCAGCTTCGGGTCCCTAAATAGAAGGAATATAACAATTGCATAATTCTTGTCAGTACTCGTTTTTCTTGTTACTCTCCTGCCCTAATAGATTCAGAAATGTAAGGGAAGGCGTGCTCTGGTCCTGCTGGGGGGACGGGGAGCTGTGCCTTCCCTCCTGAGAGAGCGTGGGCTGCACGGACAGGGAGGCAGCAGCTCCGTGGATGGGATGGGGAATGGCAGCACAGCCCAGAGAATGGCCATTCTGCAAAGAGCCTGATCCTTTACCAGAGAATTACGGGCAAAGCAGAACACAGGCCTCAAAACTGGGCATGGCATCACTCCTCCCCGTTTGCACGAGCAACGTTTTCAGTTAAAGTATAACTCTCTTTCTTCCCGCCGCACGTTCTCCTCCAGCCATGTTGCCGTCGGGGCTGCCGTGCGTGCGGGTGCTGTAATGGCTATTGCAGCCACCAGCCCTTTCTGAGGAAAGGGTCTCCTGAAGCATCCTGTGCCTTGGCAGGGATCCTTGTGCGTGGCTCCCGACCGCTGCTGCCTCTCCAGTGTCCCTGATGAGGTGCTGGGACAATTCCCTCCATGTGCTTACTCCTTGCCAAGGTGGATGAGCCCCCAGACGTGCTGTGGAAACCATTCCCAAGTTTCCCGTTGCGCGGGTGCAGTTTGCAGGCTGTCGGCTGGAGCTGCGCCGCAGTGCGAGCGCCGCGCCGCAGTGCCATGGCAACGGGAAATTTATTAACGCGCTTCCACTGCCGTCCCTAATTGCTCTGCTGGGATGTGGTGTGCACGGTGGGTCCTGGCTGCGCTGGGGCTGTGGTGCCAGGGAATGTGTGGGGCCGTGGTGGCCAGCGGGTGGTGAGGGCACTGGGGTGCAGGACTCCTCTGCCCTGCTCCCTCTCTTGGCAAAACAGGAAGGGTTCCTGGTGCTGGCGCAGGGAAACAAAAGCCATTATGAACTGTCTCATCTCTTCCAGTTTTGGTACCACCCCACCCAGTCTGAGTTCTGGGGGGCACAGGGTGGGCTGTAACGGAGGGTGAAATGAAGAGCTGCAGCATGGTCTTGGTTCTCTGTCGCAGACACTCCAGATTTTCTCAGTAGTCAATGGAAAGGATGCTTCTGCCTGGGGTGCAGCCTGTCTATGGAGGGTGAAGTGAATTTTGGCTGCTGAACCTACTCTGTGTCTCAAAATACATTTTGGCAGAAATTCCCAGATCCCCACTGGAACTGTCCCCTTGGGGTATGTAATGTCATTATTATTACAAATCTGGAGTCGAGGAAAAATTGGTCCTGAAAGTAGTAATTACAGTTTTTAACCAACCTTTTGCCATTTCCAGTCTTGGCAATGAAAGGTTGAAAGTCAGCAAGACTCCCCTCTGCGCAGTAATCGGTGTTCAGAGGGTGGGTGTGGGAGACCATTGCCCAGCCCCGCAGCCCCGTGCCTGGGGGCTCCCGTCCCACCCGTGCGGGACCCAAGGGCAGGATTCCTCCTGGGGGGATGTGCAGAAGGTGTGTGGGTGCTGGGGTGCGGTGCCGAGGGGCTGGTGGGTTTGGTGCACACCTTGGACCGGGCGGCAGCGGGAAGAAGAACGCTGTGCTGCAGACAGACCTGTCGGCAGACACTGCTCTGTATTTCACGGCGTAGTCTCTCTTCATGGCCTTCAGCTTAATTAAGATGTTGTTGTGACTGCATACTGCCTTCATTTCAGCCTTCAGCGTCTCCTGGCTGCATATTGCTTTGCCTTATCAGAGCCACAAGGACAGTGAGGGAGAGAGGGAGCCCTCTCAGGCAGCCACAGATAATAACGTGCAGGGAAAATTCCTGAATGAAGTGAAAAATTATTTATAATAATGGTACTCAAATGGAAGGGAAATAAGTCACTCTAAGGGTATATAAATTTTTATGATAGTGTATAAACAGCCATAGCTTGCCTTGTCTCCCATCTATCCCAGCAGAGAATGAGCGCAACATCTAGCATAAAGAAAAATATAATAAGAAAAGGAAGAAATGAATGGGAAGAGCCGGAGGATTGATCACCCAGTGTATTTGTATATCCTTATGTAAAAGGTGCTGCTGACAGGTGGCCAGGTTTCTTCTGTATGAAACCATGTGTGTGCTGTCAGGGCGGTGTGAGCAGCCTTGTTCCGATTGATGAATTGCCTGCTTTCTTGATTAAACCTTCCGTCACTTAAGAAACAAAAAGCCTGTGTTTGGATGGCAGAGTGGGACATGTCAAAAAAATCTGTCTGCTTTACCTTTGTGCAGATGTTGGGCACAGACTGTAACATGTATTATTAAAATGAATGTGGCATTTACTGTGCATTATTTCTTTCCTGGGAGAAAGGACCTGTAAATTATATGCTAATAATAAGCTTTAACCCTTTCAGAAACTAGGAGATTTAGGAGTGCACGTACTCCTGCAGGCCTCGCTAATTGGATGGGCTCAGATACTCCTGTAGCTCCCTAAAGTGAATGAACAGCATGTTCTGGCCCAGGGTGCTGGTGCCTCCTGGGGATCCTGTCTCCGATCAGTTTTCTGCTGTGTAAGTGCCACTGAGACGTAAACCTCCCAAATCACAACCTCTTCCCTTGGAAGCCCCCTCCGAGTTCCGATGCAGCTGCTGTGAGCTGGCTGTGCCAGGGACAACGCACCCTGACCGCCCGCACTGGCTGCGGCTGGGACTGCGCCTCCAGATCCCCTTCGTCCTGCCAGGCTGAGACCTGCTCTGCCCATTGGGGTCAGGGAGAGGATTAGGGGTGGAAAAAAGGCTTCCCACACCTTGCGGGGCACGTGGCAGGATGTTGTGTTGGAAACTAGTGACCAAGTTTGCCAGGTGGGAGTTTTATGGTCTTGGCTGCGGTTCCGGGGACATCGCGGGGTGGTCGGAGCTCCGTGCTTCCCCACAGCGTGGGCTCTCCCTGCTGCAGGTGGGTGGGCAACGCCAGTGCTGGCTTTGCTGCTGGGGAGGGTTCTCCTCTTTTGCCCTGAAATCTTGCTGTCCCCAACTTTGAGTCAGTGCAGGTAGATGTGTTTCTGGGCTGCAGCGGTGGAGCAGCCCTGGGGGCTCTTGGCCGGAGCAGGGACAGCAGGGCTGGTCACCCTGCGCCTCGCCACCGCCTGTCCCCACCGCCGTGGGGCTGTGCCCCACTCCAGCACCCCTTCTCGCTTCTTTTCATTCCTTCCAGTTCAGACCATCCGTGGTTATGGCTGCTGTCTTCTGCAGCTGCCGGCATTCTTAGGTTTTGACCGAGCTGAAGGTGAAGGTTTTCATTCTCTTTTGGAGGAAAAGTGCCGTGTCCTCTGGGCCAGACCCGAGGTGTCACATCCCGGGACGTGTCACACGCGTTTCCACTGATGGAGCAACGTTCCCGGTTGTGAACAGGGCTGTGATTTCTGCCGTCCATTG